TTATCCTGTGCACAATCTTTCATAATACAATGATTACGTTTCTACACAATAGTGCACACTTGTACCTTTGGTTAGTTTGAGTGACAAGGCTTGATACACTGTATAAATACAGGTACTGTAGTACTATACTTGGAATATAAAGCCTGGAGATATAGAAATCACATAATACAATAGACTTAAACACTAGTAAGCAAATAAAAAAACATTGAGTTACAAATGATTTCATAAGTTAATGACAATTAAAAATGCTGTGACCCTTCAATTTTCTCACTTATTCTTGAAAAGTTGGTCATTGCCTCTCGTTAAAATTGTTTAAAGATGTACAGAACGCAGATGTATTCTTAATATAATAAATCATCCTTGCTTTTGATATAGCACCTTATGACATCGTTGAGACGTTTCAAGCCATTTCACAGGAAGTGCAGTGACTGTATTTATAGGGGAAAGTGGCACCCAATTTTGTGCACAGTAATATCCTACAAACAGGTTGGGACATTGGGAGAAACTCCCTTCTTGTTCTTCTAATAGGCAATCTACTATGGCAGTACTATCTGATAAGAAACATGAACCTTCTTTCAAAAATTGGAAATTTCGTTCCAAATCTGGCAAATGTTCACACAAGGTGGCAACAACCTTGTAGATTCCAAGCTTGCTCTACTGAATTACATCAGCATCCCTTTGGGAATACAATTCTAAATTTTTGGTGTGTTTTCTTTGCTGAATGGTACAATGGACAAATGATTCCAATTTCAATCATGAGGCCAAGTGTAATTTATTATGTGCACTTTAGACTTCCCCAGGGTCCTAGAGCCTATTGAACTATAAAGAACGTGGCCACTGACAGGATAGGTGGAAATAATATAAACAAAACACAAAATACTGCAGATGCTGGAAATCTGAAAACAAAAACATAACATAACATCTATGGAGAAAGGAAAGTGAGTCAACGTTTCGGGTCCACGACTCTTTCGTCAGAACTGGGGCATGTTGGGAGAGAGAAGCTTAACACCCCGCTTTGTTGTGTATTGTTAACACTTCTTTAACCCATCATCCCATTTTCTCCTTTGTCTTCCTTGCCCCGCCTTCCCCCTCTTTGTTAGCCCTTAAAAGTCTCTCCCTCCCAACATGTCCCAGTTCTGACGAAGGATCGTGGACCAGAAATGTTCTCCATAGATGCTGCCTGACCTGCTGAGTGTTCCCAGAGACTTCTGTTTTTGCTTTTAGGTGGAAATAATTATGGGAATAAAGAGTAGGTGTAAACAGAAGGAAACTTGTAGCTAGATTTAATGAGCCCTTGACCAAATAGCAAGGCAGTGAGAAAAAGGAGAAAGTAAACACAAATTGTAAAGATAAAAGAGGAAAAAATAATGGAAATATGGAAGGTAACATGCCAAGACAAACAGCGGAGGAAGGGGAGAAAAACATTGAAGATGGTAAAAAGATAGAATACAAAAGTGAAAATAGAAATGAATGAAAAGAAGACAGATCAAAATAAAATAATTAAAACTAGCAAGCAGTTGTTACTCTAATACTGGGGTGTTGTTTTCTCAATGGCTCCTGAGCAAACCTCAGTCTGGATTGAAGTTTACATTTAATTTATTCTGGAGGGATGGGCTTGGCTGGAAAGATGGGAACACTTGCTAAAATTAGATATTCCAGTACACCTCTTGGAAGATGACAGAAAAAAGGAAGGTAAAGACAATAAACATAAACGAATGGCATAGATGAAAGTGATGTAAAAGTAAATAAGTAATGTAAAAGTGAAGGGAGGAAAGGCAAATTACACACTTCCTTATATCTTTGGCCAGTTTGAGTGACCAAGCTTGATACACTGGTGGCCACACCCTCATTATTTTGGAGATGTTTTCTGCCACCTGAAATGTAAGGGGAGGATTTATCCTCTGTTATTGCATTAAAAGACAATATGCAACTCTCTTGAGATGACATGCAATGCCAGATTTAACTCTAGGAACCTGGCCTAAGTGCTGGTATACAAAATGCTTGTGGTAAAAGAAGTGAAGAATGTTTCAGCCTCTTGAAAATAAATGTGTAAATAGGTAAACATGTAAGTATGAATTATTTCTGTCTGTGGTATAGCCAATAATTTCAGACATAAGGACACCACAAAAATGTCACAGCTGACAGAATAACATGGACAGAAGTAAAAGCCATTGTTCTTTTGTATTACCTTTGTGAACATCCTTCAAAATAAGTTCATACTTTTCTGTGAACAAGGAGAAAGCAAAGTTGAGGGTGTATTATTGGCATTTTGGCTTGTGAAATGATACCACCAAAATGACGTCCATGCAAAACGGGGAATGCTTTGCATGCATTAGTTGATGAGGTCTCAGCCAACTGACATACCACTGAGGAATGGTTGCATTCGACTAACGCATGAGGTTCCAAGCAACGCAGGGTGGTAAGGCAAATAAAAGAACTGATGGCAGAAATAAGATAGCATGTGACAATAATCTAGAATGGAGGGAATGAACTTACAAGCGATATTTTACAGTTATGTTCAAAAGGTTAATTGGCCACTCGCATTTCACCTAAGGTAAACTACATGGTTATCATGCTTTTATTTCCAACATCTGACACCAGCATAGATACACAAGAGACTTTACATAATGATCTCTATAATGTTCTTCACATAACATAAGAAACAGGAGAATTGTCTAAAGGAACAAATTGTTAATGGAAACCTTGTAGAATTTAGCATTTCCATTTCTGCATGAAGTTTTGAACCCATTGAAATAAGTGCAACAACTTCATTGTCGGAGGCCTACAAGTTGGGGCAGTTAACCCACACTAAAGTAGCAACTTACCACATTGCAAGTGAATTTCTCAAATGAGGTTCTGCGATCCTCAATGATTCTCGACTTAAATGAAGATATAAAGAAATATAAAAAGGAAGCAAACAAAGAAAAAGAACTCTCTCTACCCAAAGTAGAAAGCTGAAGGGATGATAAAATAATAGGCTCCAGGAACAGCTATGGAGAGAGCAAGAACCAACCTTGGGAATGACAACTGCTGAATAACGCTGCAGAATGTATCAGTGAAAACAGTGAAATTGAAACACAAAGCGGCAAAGCTTTCAGAACATGACATATGATGATAATGCTCCAAATCTACTTCTAATGAATATCCTGTTTCTAATTATTTGGAGTACCATACAGTTACAAGGTCAAATGTAATAGGAGATGACAATCATTCCAACACAAAATCCAGTGTGAGGTGTAGTGTATTGGAAACCATTCCACGTTTCCATGAAATCTGAGCTGATCTGGTTTGAGTCAATTTGGTGTAAAACCACAGTACAGTTTTTGATAATTAAGTTGTATTTTCCCTTTTCTATATGAGGAAAACCTGGCAGACTCACATCTCTATTAAAAAACAATGTGCTAACGTGGTTGATTCTGATTTCCTGCATCACAAAACAGCTTCTAGAAATATTGTTTACGCTGAAGAATCTGTAGTCCACGATATATTGATTTAGCTCAAGGGTGCATTTGCTTCAGTTGGCCCCAATTGCTAATTCTCAACCAGATGAGATGCCCATTAACTGATCTTCACCATTTAATCTCCCAACAATGCTATCGACTTAAGCTCTTAGTAGCATTCATGCCAGTGCCCATGATAAATCCCACAAAAAGTTTGCTTGTCTTCCAGGGTGAAGAAGGATATTCAAAGGCAACAACCGATGACATAGAATTAATATTGTTTTCTTTTTAAGTGAAAATAAAGGTAAAGGGGAGAAACTGAGTGAGATGAAATATCTTTAAAGGGTGTCAATTTTGCGACATTTCTTAGTTAAGAAATCCATGTGAGGGATCCTTCCAGCAACCAGATATAGGTGATACATATTATGCCAACTCGAAAGAACATGTTCTGAAAATAGATCAAGTTGTAGCATTGCTGTGAATCGACATTCTGGACTTCTTTATTTCTTGACCAAGAAAGATCTGCAAGCTGACCCCTTTACTTCCTAATTTTAGTGATGTTTAAGAATAGATCTGCAATAGTTATAATGAATCTTTTGGCCTTATCATACTGAATGGTCATTTCCAATTGTGGTTTGGTTTTAGGTTAAAAATGTGGCCTATTGAGGTCAAAAAATTAAAATAATAATAATAGCATGCATTATATAATGCCTTTCAACATAAACCTCATTCAAAATCAAAGTTAATGTTAACTCTGGAGGCAAAAGCAGCAAGTAATATGTGCCATTAATGTCCCATAAACTACAATGAGATGAACAGCCAGTCAATTTACATTTTGGAGTACATTTGAATTGAGAAGGCAATGTAAGACCAGGATGAGTGGGAGAGCGACTCCCACTTATTCTGGTTTTATATTCCCTTCCCAATCCAAATTTGAAGTAGTAATGCTAAGGTGGTCCTTTTACATCACAAGGGAGATAGAAGCTAAATTAATAAAATGATCAAAAATGGGATGATATTGAAGTAGAAAACTTGTGTTTAATGTGAAATGTTGCTTGTGGCAAATGGAGCTGTTAATTTGCACCAGATATTTGACATGTAAAAATTGTAGATCTGCACGAATGTATCTCTGAAAAATGAATGAACTAAATGCCAACTTCTGAAATTGCATACAGATTGAGTAAAAAGCTAAACACTTGTTCCAAAGTTGCCTTGATTTTGCCATGCCCCTATGGAACATGTCTCTGACATTATTCTACGTGTGCTTCTGCTATGTTACCGCATAGTGAAAGTATTTTTGTTGTTTTAAACCTAAACCTATGATATTAACTACTGTATAAATGTCCATAAGTACACTGAAAGTGTAACGTTGTCACTGCAAAAGATCACCAGGCAAACTATGAGTTTGATAATCATTAGGTAATACTATGAATGATAATATGAGATCAAAAGAAGAGTGATTTTTATGGTGCTTTACTCTACTCTGATACCTGATGTCCAACTAGCAGATCATTTAAAAGATTGAGGACTGAGGCACAAATAGAAGACAATTGCAAGTACCTTTTTTTTAGCCTGGAGCAGCTCCTGATAGGCACTGGAACGTATGAATCGAGGGTAGGAATCACTTTTCATCAGTTTGTAAATGTGCTCCTAAAAAAAAATGGTATCAGCTGTAAACATAAGCAGGCAAGAATAGGAAAGTGTACCTAAAATGAGCATTTTTGTATAGCAATGAATCCGAGTATAACCTGATAGTTATACCAACTCAGAGGACCTCTCTTATATCCGGTAAATAATAATAATAATCTTTGCATTTGATATAGCGCATTATCACGATTTTCAGATGTCTCAAAGTGCTTCACAGAATATACTGTAAAGCGTAGTGACTATGTTTTGTGGATGAAATGCGTCAGCCAATTGTGCACAGCAGTGTCCCACAAACAGTCGTGGATTGAGTGACCAAATTATTATTTATTTTTTTGAAGGGATTATTATCCCCGGAAAAGCGATCGGCCAATCAACTAACAGCCGGGTTCCTACTTACTGCTAAGTAAACAGAGGCATGTGGAAACATTTTTCCCTGGCTGGGAATCGAACCTTGGTCCTCTCGTTTGCGAGGCGTGTGCTCTAACCACTAAACTACAAGACTCCAAAAAAAATGAAAACAGAGCAATATACAGGTGACTCAAGCTCTCTCTAAGCCACATAGCAGATACATTTCTTAATATGCAAAATGCTAATGTCTTCGTTCAGGATTTGTCATTGCTTTATCTCTGCAAATATTTTTTTCCTCCTGTCCCCACTGGGTCACCTGCAGTGTACCCCAAGGTTCGAACCGTGACCCCTTCTTTTCCTCATTTACATCTCGGCGATATCATCCATAGAAATTAGATCAACATCTACTTCCCATCTGTGACCCCAAGGTCTGCTGATGTTCTGTCCTCTCAGTAGTCAGCCATCAAGGCCTGGATGAGTGCCAAGTTTCTGCAGCTGAATGTTGACAAGAGAGAAGAAACACTCCTTGGCTCCCATCAAAATCACCTGCGGCTCCAACCTTCTTAACCACCCCGGCCTTTCCCTCAGACTAATTAAACCTGAGAGTAACCTAGGTGTGAGGTTCGATCCCCAGGTGTCCTTACTACCTGACATCCAGTCCCTGACCAAGATCAGTTTTCTCCTCCTCAGTCATATTGCCTGCCTCCGATTGTACCTGACACTCATTGCAGCCCATACCCTTGTTCACCAATTCATCACTTCTCGTCTGAATAACTCCAATGCCCTCCTCACCCATCTTCCTAGCTCCACCATTTATAAAATCCTATTCATTCAAAACTCTGCCCACACCAAACTCCGTACTCCCATCACCTCAGTCCCTGCCAGGCTCCACTGGTTCCCTATCACAGAATGGATCAATTTCAAGGTCCTCACACTCAAGTACAAATCATTTCATGGCCTGGCACCGCCCCACTTCTCCTACCTGCTTACTCCCCACTCCACTGCCTTTGCTCAGATGGTTCCAGCTTCCTGCACATCCCTCATATCCTCTGCTCCACGATTCAGCAGCTACGTCCCAAAACTATGGAACCCTCTGACTCAATCCCTCCACCTTGTCTCCTCCTTCCCTGTCTTCAAATCACACTTGAAAACCTTCCTCTTCCACCGTGCCTACATTCACCTCCCCTCTCTTCCAGTTCAGCATCAAGCTCCGCCACTGTTAAGCCCTTCAAGATGCTTCCCCCTTGAAGAGCACTGTATAAGTGCAAATTGTTGTTGATCTATTTGTGTAGCTCAGAAATAACTAATGGTATTTTAGTTTGGATTTCGAAGTATGTTTCTGAAGTTCCTTAGAAAATAGTCTAACTTTAGTCCAAGTTTTGTATACTAAAATATCATGATCTTTTATTAAAAAAATGGGAAATCTCATAATAAATCAGCAAGCATTATTTTTTGGTGATCAGCATGTGATAAGACGATTGTTATTGTCTGCATGTGTGTACACTTAACATTCAAATGAAATCTATCTATTTCCAATTAATACAAATAGCTACATTTGTATTAATTCAGAAACATCTGACTGAAGGAGATATCTGTGTCTAATTTGCAGTTTGTGCTAACCATAGATAAACATATATACAGCCTGAATTCCTGCTGCCATTAATTATGTTATTAACCAATTGTCTATAATCCTTTACATTTGCTTTTAGTTACATAATTAAAGTTACTTGTAATTTCCTCTTTTTACGAATGTTAACACATGGTTAGCACAATCATCAAATTAGGCCCCATCATCTTGATAAATATCAGTTTGCAATATCGCTGTCTGTTTCATGCTTTTGTTTGTTGTGGTTATAGTTTCTAAATGCTGCTTTATTCAGTTGCTACCATATGACCTACATACATATTGTGGATAGCAGCTGCAACTTGCAAATACAGTTAATGAGGACCAGACATGTAGCAATTGTCTTATTTTATAACAATTTGATATGGGGGCTGATTATGCTATAGAAACGGTCAAAGTCATAGGATATACTGTGAACTGACTGTGTGTTTGTAGGTGAAAGCGGCAACCAATTTGCATACAGCAATGTCTCACAAATAACCATGAGGGGAATGACAAATTTTAATTCTCTTCTCTTTTCAAATTGTGCCATGGGATCTTTAACATCCATCTGAATAGGCAGATGAGACCTTGGGATTTAACATCTCATTCAAAGGATTGTTCCTGCAGCAATGCAGTGAATCCCCAGTACTGCACAAGACTGTCAGCCTAGATTGAGTTCAGAACAAGAAGATGAATGAAATTCTGACAAAGGGTTGTGGACCCAAAATGTTGACTCACTTTCCTTTCTCCATAGATGCTGCCTGATTTACTGAGTGTTCCCAGTAACTTCTGTTTTCGTTTCAGATTTCCAGTATTTTGCATTTTGTTCATAGATGAATGAAATGTCAGGCTGTTATGACTTATAACAGCTTTTAAGCTTCAATGAAAACGACAGCTCAAACTCCAACTCTTAACCCATAAGCTGTGAAAATGAGTGCTAAAATACACTAGCTAAGCCACTATGCCCACAACATTTCTCAGATTCAAATTGGCGAATAATTAGAAAAGAACAGATGGCAAAATTGTCTTTTAGATTATGTTTTTCCTGGGTTTCTAGTGTTGGCTTGATGGGAAAATGGCACTGAATCAGTACATAGAGAGATTTCAAATGGATCCAATTGGGCAAACAAGCAATATATTAAAAATAACTTTTTTTTATTGTTGATGTTCTGCCTCCAGATATCCCTGTATTGTCCTTCTAAGAACTTTGGGTCTCTTTTAATGTGTCCACTAAAAATAGTTCTAGGTATATAATCGTTTTTTCCTCTCATAAAGCAGTAAAGAAAAGATTTTTTTTGTAATCAGCATAAAATAGGCACCCCATGTCTTTTTTGTATTATTTCAGATATCTGTTTATCATTGAATACAGGATTGAAATTCTAACTTTGAATCTTAAGTCTATCAGTGGTTCACACACCAAAAATAAAATCTACTTTCAGAAGGCATTTTGATAAGGTTCTGCACAAATGATTATAGCGAATATGTAGGAAAGAATGGGAAATCGAAGGCAACTTTGTGACATAGGTTGTTAATTGGTTCACTGACAGAGAGAACGCAGATAAAGGGAATGTTCTCTGATTGGTCTGATGTGACAAGTGGTGTTTCCCAGGGACCTGTCCTGGGGCCTCAACTTTTCATCATATACAACCTGTTCAAGCAACCAGACATATTCAGCAACCACCCTGGAACAGCCAGCCTGGTTTGCACACCAATGACCCTTACTCAGAGGCTATCCCTATATAATAATAATAATCCTTGCATTTGATATAGTGCTTTTCACGTCTTTGAGACACCTCAAAGTGCTTCACAGAATATACTGTAAAGTGAACAGACTGCATTTTTGTGGGCGAAACGCGGCAGCCAATTGCGCACAGCAGTGTCCCACAAACAGTTGTGGATTGAGTGACCAAATTATTATTTTTTTTCTTTAGCAATTATTATCAAACAACTCGCATTTATATACTGCCCTCCATGCCGGACAGTGTCCCAGAGCACTTAACAATGGTGGAACCCGATGGCGAGCCAGGGAGTGGAGGAAGGTGACCAAAGGCACGGTCAAAAAGGAAGGTCTTCAGGCGCAACCTGAAAATGGGGAAATGGGGGCAAAGCAAAGGGATTGAGGGAGGGAGTTCCATAGCTTGGGGGCGTAGTGACTGAAGGCGTGGCCGCCGATGGTGGAGTGGAGGATTTGAGGGTCAAGGAGGAGGCCGGAGCCAGTAGAGCGGAGGCAGCAGGTAGTGCTGTGAGGAGAGAGGATGTTGGAGAGATAGGAGGGTGCCGAGGAATGGAGAGATTTAAACACTAGAGTGAGGATCTTGAAGTTGATCCGCTCTCTGACAGGAAGCCAGTGGAGTTTGGCAAGGACTGGAGTAATCGGAGTACAGCGTTTAGTGCAGATGAGAATGCGGGCGGCAGAGTTTTGAATGAGTTGAATTTTGTGAATAGTGGAAGGGGGGTGGCAGAGTCTGGCAAGAAGGGCGTTAGAGTAGTCCAGCCAAGAGGTGACGAAGGCATGGAAAAGGGTTTCAGCACATTGTGGAGTGAGGTATTGTTGGAGATGGGCAATGTGGCGGAGGTGGAGGAAAGCGGTCCTGATCAGGGACTGGATGTGGGGGAGGACGGATAAATGGAGAATCAAACCTGACGCCTAAGCTGCTTACGGGTTCAAAAAGTTTTAAGGACAGTTCCTTAATGGTGAAATGCTAAGATCTAGGGAGGAACAAAAGAGTTTTGGTGTCCAAGTATACAAGTCATTAAAAGCTAGTGCACAAGTACATAAAGCAATCAAAAGGTTAATGCAATGCTGGCCTTGATCTCAAGGAGGTTGGAATACAAAAGTGAGGAAGTGATGCTTCAGTCTTGGTCAGATTCCGTCTATGGTGCTGCATTCAGCTTTGGGAACCACATTTCAGGAAGGATATGTTAGCCTTGGATGGGGTACAGCGCAGATTCACCAGAAATATACTCGTGCTCAAAGGGTTAAATTATGAGAAAGGTTACATAAACTTGTTTTTTATTCCCTGGAGTTCAGAAGGTTGATGTGTGATCTAATTGAGGTGTTCAAAATGATAAAGAAACTTAATGGGGTAGATACAGAGAAACTATTTCCTCTGGTGAGGGAATCCAGAACAAGGGGGCACAATTGTAAAATTAGAGCTTCGCTAAATTAGGAGTGAAACCAGGAAGCATGTTCTTACACCAAAGGGTTGTGGAAATCTGGAATTCTCTTCCACTAAAGGCTGTGGATGGTGGGTCAATTAGAATTTTCAAGACTGAGATCAATAGATATTTGTTAGGTAAGGGTATCAAGGGATAAGGACAATAATAACAATCCTTGCATTTGATGTAAGACTTTTCACATTGGGAAGATGTCTCAAAGCACTTCACAGGAATCACTGCAAAGTTGTTACTGTATATTATGTAAGTAAACACAGCAGTTACTTTGCACATGCCAATGTCCCACAAACAGCCATGAAGTAAATGACCAATCTTATCTGGGGTATTGTTGGCAAGGAAGAAATTCCCTTTGTTTGAACAGTGTCATGGGATCTTTAACATTCACCTGAACAGGCACAGATAAGGTTAAACATCTTATCCAAATCAACAACCCTTATAACAATGCAGCACACCAGCATTGTATTGGAGAGATCAAAGACTCCACAAATGGGCTGGAACTCACAAACCTCTGACTCAGAGGTGAGAGTGCTACCAGTTGAGGTAGGCTGATACCTCATGTACTTCCGGTTCTTGAAAGGAGTCCTCAGAATCACCACTTGTATTCCTTACTAGGGAATCCCATTCAGAAATATTGCACATGAGAACCCCTATCGTGATTAATCAAAAATGATGCTGCCCAGATTAGATGTTGCATTCACCTACAAAATACACTGTCACTTCACTTTACAGTATATTCTGCAGATGCTCTCTTGCTGTGAAAGGATCTATATCAAATGTAAGGATTATTATGGAGTTGGTTAAGTACAAGTACATTAATTGCAGCAAATGTAACTCTCAGTCTGTAGGACATAATTTTGTTTGATCTGCTGTGTTTCTATTTTTGTTTGCTCGGTTTTGTGGCGTAGCTTCCTTGTACCCTTTCCCCTTGACTCCCTGTGCCAAGCAGAATACCTCAGCCAAGAGAACAGGAGGTGACATATTCACAGACCTCTTGAGCTGGTTGCTGGGAAGTGAGTAAGAGCTTATTGATGTGATTAACCTTTTGTCTGTTCCAATACTGGAAATCACCAGGTGGTGGGCATGGAACCTATCACTCCTTGCACAGCTTGTTAAATCAGCAATGCACTGGTCCACCATCTGCATCCCCAAGTTCATATTGAATTCTTTGCTAGGGCTGAAATTGCAACAAATTTCTTTGATGCTCCTTATACTTAAACATATTACATCGCTCTTAAAGAAGACCTTATTTATTGTAATATCCTCACTCCACATTCCATTGAGATGATTTCCACCCAGGTACTATATACATGCAAATTTGTATTATAGTGTGTATCTTGTTTAATGGAGTTTTTTTTTATCAATGTGAAAGTGAAATGGTCTCTCTGTTGATACAGCTTTCTCACCTGAGCATCTTCAAATGCATATCTTCCTGGGTCTTTCACATTTTGCGTGGTCTTATCGTAGCTTTTGGAGTCTACATTAATGGCACTGGGGGCCCCGGAGGCCAAAAACTCTTGCCAAATTTCTTGAACACGAGATGGCACTTCGCGGATAGGCCTTTTCTTCAGATCCAGAACCGCTAGCCAAAACCTGTTTAAATTCACATAGGACCATCAACACCTTGGCTTTGGTACTAAAAATCAAACGATCAGACAGCAGAAAAGAAAACTATCAAGAATTCCTCTAAAAATGGGAATTATTAGGCTATAGTTACAAACTATAAATCTGATACCGTGTGTCATTCCAATCAAGTAGAACAATCAAATTCATGATTATCTCTGAGAGTCACTGAGAAATTTCAAAGAAGTAATTCCAAAAAAAATAAAAATATTTTAATATTTTAGAGCTTCCAGGAGCCAGAGGGAGATAGCGATAGTGACAAAAAGACATAGCGTAGGATAGAGGTTGGCTCATGCATAGGTAAAGTGACAGGAACACAAAGTTGTTAATAGAGATAATCAGTAGTCTAAAGAGGGAAGCATAATACAGTATTCTAGTTTTAAAGCTTGTATCTCTATTAAATTATTTTATATTATGTTATATTATATCTGTCATGTATATTTTATCATATATATCATTGGGAGCAGGGATTCTCCACACCCAGCTACTGTTAACTCTGCAACCCAAAGCCCTAACGAGTTCTAGCGTGACAAGTAGTAGGGAGCTTGCAGACTAGATATACAGTATAGTATAATGCAATATCCCCACTAATATGGCCTGGCGAATGGATACGAAAACAGTGTGGATAGTGAGTACGAATCAAAAGTTTCCATCCAGAGTTATACTGTCACCACAATACACACGTTATCAACCCTTTTCTCTCTCTATCTCTCTCTGTCTTTCTCTCATTGGTCTCCACACACAGCGATGACACTTTTTTTTCCTCGCAGTCTTTCTCTCTACCAGACATTCTCTGTCATTCGAACTCTGTCTCCGAATCTCTGTTGACTGGCTCTGTCTATCTGACTCCTGTCTTTCTGTCTTGGGTGTTTCTCTCTGTGACTCTGTCTGTCTCTAACTGCCGCTGTGCATTTGAATATGAATGTGCATGTCTCTCTATTCATGTACTTACCTATATCAGATCTGTCCACCTTGTACAAGTTCAGTAAAATCACATATCTGGTTACACCATGCACATGTATACGTACAACTAAAAGTGTCTGCTGACACATCAGTCTGACTTCATTCCACATCTCAGTCCCAATGCAGAAAAGCATGCATGCAGTATTGAAAGACAGTGCTGAGTGTATGTATAGTTATATAGCTAAATATATATATAGTTTTTAGAAATGCTTGATATGAATATACAGGAAATTCCTCATACATAGAGAAATTAAGATCTGGATATTGAAAAGTGATGTAGCCTTTGTAAATTATAATTAGTATTTTTCTGCTTACCTGATTAATGCTTCAGCTGAACATGAAATGGAAGACATCACCACTATTTACTTAATCTCAATTTCAGTTTGTAAACTTCTACAGAGAATCTCCTCATGCTAAGACCCTGAGACATTCCACATACAGTAAACATACCGCAGGTTTTCAGAGCTGAACTCGGACTCCACAAACTTGAGAAACTGCTCTCTCCCTACAGGATCTTTCAAAACTTCATCAATGCAGAAGCCCCATCGCTTCACCCTCTGTGTGTAGGGCTCTTTACTGAAAGCAGAAGGGGAGTCATTTTTAGTGACACAATCAACAATTTGGTGTATGAAGGAGCTAAAGGATTTCTTAAATCATGTAAATTCAGACTCCTTCCACTAACGAGAAGTACACCACAAAGTCCCGCAGAAAATACACTCAAATATGATTTACATCAGACCAAAGTTCCTATTGTTTGACGGGAATTCTACAAGGTTACTTCTTAAGCAATCCAGTTAAGAAATACTAATAAACCTTAATACATAAATATCTTAGTCTTTTAGACCTGTTTTGAAACAACTCTGTCGAACCTGATATGACCAGAATATGCAGTCTCTGTGATAAGATGCTGAATTCGGTGATGCCAAATTGAAATGAGACATTTTTCCCTCTTAAATAGAGGTAATTTCTCTCTATTTGTTGCATATAAGTTGAGACCCTTATGCACAAGGAATAAACATTTAAGATTCTTTGTGATACAGCATTGAAAGCTCTAAAATTGAACTATTTAGGACTCTAACAACAATTTATATTTATTAGAGGATTGCAGACGTCGGGGAACACATCAAAGTGCTTCACACGGGTGACTGGGAACCCAACCTCAGGAGGGTGGCAAGGAAAAGTGGGCACTGAAAGCATGGTCAGAAAGATGGATCTTTAAGGTGGGTTTTAAAAGTGGAGACGAGTGGGCGAGGAGATTGAAATTCTAATTTTGATACCACTAGCTGAGTAGAATTGTTACCAATATAATAATAATAATATGGTGAAAGAACATATACCTGCTCAACCCAACACTTCTGTGCACTAAGCAACTTGTCACTATTTCCAGAAATTGAACTTCCTCTCCCTTTCCTTCTTTCACTAAATCCCTATACACCCACAGACAAAAAATGATCAATAATTTCATAGCTGTTTGAGATATTGCTGCTCACAAATTGGCTGCTGCAATTATCTACAAAAAACAGTCAATACACTTCACAGTAAATCCTACAAAGGGGCTTGAGACGTCCTACCAATCATTATTATGTAAACCATTATTATGTAGTCCTTATTGTGTAAAACCAGATGCCATTCTAGCCACAGGGATCAGATTCCCACATATGATCTGTTTCTACATTTAGCAGCAAGAGGAATCGTTCATCCAAAGATTGCTCGATTAATTGGAAACCTCTCACCTAACGCCTGAAGTAATGTCAGGAAATTAATAGCAGTTCACCAGGCCAGTAAGAATATTTAGTCCCTTGAGCATGTACAGCTGGGGATAGACTGACCCGATTCTAGGTGCTTCTGAATTTAGAAAACAAATCAGGCTTCAAAAACAAATATGAAATTTGGCACAGTTGTCATCCCTACCACATGCCCTTCTTGAAAATCTGCCAGCACTGAAATCACAAGTTGGCTCGTAGATGAAAGAAAGTTATTTGAACAAGAGAGATGGCAAGAACATCATTCCAAACAATCTGCTAACCTCACAGCCCTGTTTCCATCATGTGCTGCCTCCAAAATCCCAAATCCCCAAATTTTGGCAGTAGATATGGAAAACATTGCTTTTAAAGTAAGATGTGATCCTGAATGCAGTGGGTTCGTGAAGTTTATTTTATTTGAATGCAAGTGTGCGTTTTGTTTCTATGTACAAATAATACAAATTTAGATTTCTTTGGGATTCCAGATTGGAAGGTGTTAAATTCATTTTTTTTAATAATAATAAATTAATTAATCCTTGTATTTGATATAGCAACTTATCACGTCTTTGAGACATCTCAAAGCGCTTCACAGAATATACTGTAAAGTGAATTGACTGTATATTTTGTGGGCGAAACGCAGCAGCCAATTGCGCACAGCTGTGTCCCACAAACAGCCGTGGATTGAATGACCAAATAATTATTATTATTTTTTGAAGGGACTGTTACCCCCGGAAAAGTAATCCTCCAAGCGACTAACAACTGGGTTTCTACTTACTGCTAGGTAAAAAAGGAGCGTGTGTAAGGAAACTTGCCTTACGTTTCATACTAACCAGGAATCAAACCCAGGTTCTCTCACTAGCGAGGCGAGTGTTCTAACCACTGAGATACAGGACTCCACAGGATTGTAAAAATAATGATAATCGTTACATTTGATATACAGTAAAATACATTCATTCGTTTAGTGCCTTTCACATGGGAAGGACCTCTCAATTTGCTTGACGATGCTGGCTGGCCACCTGAGCTGGAGGTACAAACTTAAGGGGGTGGGGCCTTTCAAAATGGGAGAAACTATCAAAGTGCTTAACTACAAATATATATTGTGAATTTTGAGGGTAAGTAAGACATCAACAATCTATATAGTGCTTTTCAAGTCCAGCTTTATACAGTTGACTGCAAGCCCGAGCTGAGGAAGTTTGAGGGGAAAGGAGGTGAAACACAATCCAAAGGAAGGATCAATTATTTATTTGCACCTAAAGATTAGGACTGGGAAATTCCCTGGAATTATGTTTGGACAATTTGGAATTGCAGAGCCTTCTTTGCATTTTCATTAACAACTAGTATGTATTGCTTAGCTATTCCATGTAAAATAATGCAGCAAAGCTTTGTCACAGTGATTTATACTTGATATTGCTGGTTTTGCAGGATTTAAAACCTATGGCTTTGGAGAACATGATTTTACTTCTTTCTTAAGTAGTCAGTTATGACTTTGCAGCAACTTTATTGAAACTTTGTTATAATGTCATGTTTCAGATCCATAAAATCCCAATCCAGTCTATAATGAGGCATGATAGTCAGTTTCACTGCATACATGTGCAACAGGCTGACTTCTTCTCTGTCCATGGCCTGGTTCATGCACGCGAAGAAAAAGGCCAACTTCTCATTCATCAGTGCCGCCACCAGCATCACTTCCTTTCTGCTGCTCATGAATAAGGCAGGAAGTGATCTTGTCGATAACCTGATGACCCAGAAGACAGACATTTTTTTTCGCCTTGGAAGCTAAAATGGACTTCCTGCTGATTAGGTCACTGCCAGTGACACTTCTTGCTTTGGACATATGCAGTAAAGCAGGAATGACAACAGCAGCAACAAATTGTATTTTCACATCAGGAGGATGTCACAAGGAGCTGGAAGTGACACCTGGAAGGTAGCTGTTTTAGCGTGAAAGCTGGCCAGAGAAAGAATGGGAATAGGGCAGGGCAGTGCGATTGAAAGTGCACCTTGCTCTGAGAGCTGCTGCAGACTCGATGGGCTGAATGGCCTCCTTTGGCACTGTATATTTCTATGATTCTATGAAGTAAAACATGTTTTCCAAAGCCATAGATTTTAAATCCTGCAAGAACTAACATATTTAAACACAATAACAAAACTATGTGTTATGCATGTAAAAACAGAATAGTACAGCCTAGCTTATTAATAATGCGAATTCAAAAGCACCTCTGCTCTTTCAACTTGTCCATATATAACTCCATGGAATTTCCCGAGAACTCTTTCAGCTATTAATAGAGCCAGTGATACGCACAGATCCAGTAGAGGGCACTGTGGGGGTATGCAACACTATTGGGGTTAGAATTAAGCCTGTAACCATGGACCATTTCTTCCTGTTTTGCAGAGCAACTTATTCAGATCAATTGTACTTTCTGAAAATGCAAACTACTATGAATATTACAAAAAACATCTTCCCAGATTCAGACAAGGCTTTAATCAAAATAATTGTTCAAATACAACATTGGACGAGAAAATATTTAGAGGAATGAACTCTTGATTCATTCACTTGATCAGCTCTTTCTCTATATCTCTAACACCCACCAAAACAACTTTAAATGAATGGTATGCATTACAAAAGAATTGTTAGACGCAGAATTACTTTAAACAATAAGCAAAATTAAAGGTCTTCTTTTCATTGTCCCTATTATTTTGTTAGTCTTTTCAGTTAAGCAAAAAAGCATACTTGTTATTCTTAATGTGGGTGAGTTGAAAGGACCTGGTCTCTGCTGTTTGACCCAGTTTTCTAGAGATTGCACTGAACAAGAACAAACTATGCCTGTAAGTGTCACAGACATGAAACAATCATAAACATCAGCACATTATGCTGAACCAGAAGTGTGTTGGGAGGTAGAAAAAAGACAGTATTAAATTCCCAGTAGAATAAATGCTAAAGAAGAATTTAGGAGAAATCTATTAACTCAGAGAGTCATGGGTGTGGAGTGCCCTGCCAAGTGAGGTGGTAGAGTCAGAGTCCAATGTTGGTTTCAAATGGGAAATATACAGATAATATGAAAATAGAGGCGTGACGGGGTATGAGGATAGGGCAGGTCAATGGGATTGAATGAAAAGCTTGCTCTGAGGGCGATTGCAAACTAGATGGGCTGAATGGCCTCCTCCTATGATGTAAATTTGTATGATTCGATGACTTTAAACTTGTCCTGTCTTGTTCATGTTATTTACACTTAGCATACTGGAAAATGGGGAGAAATTGCTGTCCTTTCAAAGAGTTTAATATTTTCTAAATTTATTTTTCAGTTAGTACAATGGGATATACAATGCAATGCTAATGTAAAAATAATAATAATTCTTGCATTTGACATAGCACCTTTTGATGTCATTGAGATGTCTCAAAACGCTTCACAGGATATAACGTAAGGTGGATTGACTGTGCATTTTTGTAGGCAAAACCCAATCTATTTTTTTTTAATTTTTAAAAAGTTTAACAATTACAAAAAACTTAAAAAAAGTTAAATAGATCAATCAGAGAAAATGCAGTAGTAACATTATTGGAGTTTTTCTTTAATCCAAAATTCAATCTCCCTATTTCTCTCTGTAGTTATTTTACCACCTTGAAATATTGCTTGAAATAATTGTGATGTACTTTACAGAAAGTGGCCTGGAGCAAAAGAGTGGTGAGAAAAACTATTTTAAAGCCTTACCTGGCTTCAAGCTCCCAGAAGGAAATGTCATCTGACATCCATGGATTTGAAGGTTCAGGGGTTACAAGAAATGGGTCAAATTCCATGTACTGTTCTGTGTATCCTATTAAACTGGAGAAGAAATGGACAGTGTGATAGGTAATATAAATGTTAAAGTAGAATCTATGAGGGTAAGATGGTGTGAGCACCAATGTGCCATGCTTCAGCATGGTGATAATAATAGTAATAAACCTCATGTTTGATATAGCACCTTTCCACATCAGGAGGACCTCTCATAGCACTTCACAGAATACGCTATAAAGTATAGTGACTGTGCATTTTGTAGGTAAAATGGCAGGCATTTTGCACACAACAATGTCCACAAAGAGCTATGAAGTGAGTGACCAATTTTATTTGGGGAAACGTTGGACAGAACATTGGGAGAAACTCCCTTCTCTTTTCAAATAGTGCCATAGAATTTTTAGCGTCCACCTGAACAGGCAGATGGGATCTTGTTTTAACATTTCATTCAAAGGACGGCACCTCCAACAATGCAGCGTGCCCAGCATTGCATTGGACCATCATCCCAGACTACATAAGTTCAAAGTCGCCCAACATGGGACTTGAATCTACACATTTCTGACAAAAAGGTGAGAGTGCTACCAACTAAGCCAGATGGTATTATGTAGCTTTTCTGATGCTCCACACAGTGAGTTCCCAATTTTTAGTGGTTGAGGATGCATGAAGCAGAGGAGAGGGTAAATTAAATTTACTCTAATGCCACTCCTTAGTAGTCAATGGCAGAGGTACATCAACACAAGACCAGGAAAAAATTGCAAATAAATTTATCATATCAACAATTGTAACTTTACCTTTCTGCAACTTTTGACATTTTTAACCGATGCCTATCCAACTGCATTTGCCAGAACTTTATCTGTAAAATGAAAGAAGACCCATGTGAGTAAATGCACACAAACCGGAAATGATTGTTTTTATTATTTGAATTGCACATTGGTTTATTGTGACCCACCTGTTGCTGTAATTCGTCTGCTGTTGGCTGCTTGGCTTCTGGTGCTGGCGCATGGGTAGGACTGTGGCCTCGGACATCATTTTGTAATCCATAGACAGACTGCAGTGCAATAGAGAACTGTTACAAAACAGTACCGGCACAATGTGATTAGTTTATACTCCTTTTCACTCCTAGTTGTGCTCATTGTGCACAATAATAATAATCTTCAAATGCAAGGATTATCATTATTGTTACAAAAACATGTATTAACCCAGCACCACAGCAACTGGTTAGTCCATTTACATTTAATTTTAGTAACTTGAGATCCCACTGAGTTCCATATTCAATGTTTAACACTGCCGAAGTTGTCCAATGCTGATTCGAATCTAGTGAGGATATGGCATAAAGCAGGATTATTTCAGCCACTGTGACTTGCCAAAATAATAGTAATAATAACCCTTGCATTTGATATAGCACCTTATCACACCTTTGAGATGTTTCAAAGCGCTTCACAGAATATGTGTTAAGTGAATTAACTGTATATTTTGTGGGTGAAACACAGCAGCCAATTGTACACAGCGGTGTCCTACAAATAGTCGTGGATTGAATAAACACATTTCTTTTTTTTTGGAAGGAATTATTACCCCTAGAAAAGCAAACCACCAATCAACTAACAACCAGGTTCCTACTTACTGCTAGGCAAACAGAGGCGTGTGGAGTAAGGAAACTTGCCCAACATTTCGCCCTGCTGGGAATCAAACCCAGGTCCTCTTGCTTGCGAGGTGAGTACTCTACCCATGACTCTACAAGTCTATAATGTTTGCCTACAAAATACACAGTCACTACACTTTACAGTAGTGCTTTGAGATGTTCTCCTGACTCTATAGTCAAGAGGCTCCAGGCTCTATATCAAATGTAAGAATTATTATTTATGTTTCCACATGCAAACGTCCTGTCACTTTTACACAGCAGTATGATTTATGTGGAATGAGGAGGAGGAGCAGCTTTATTGTTATTAAATTGTGTGGAACATTCTCAATGGGCTAATGCCTACTCCTGCTATTGTAATACTTTAACAAGCCACATTTAGCAATTTGTTCTCAGACAGTGAAGAAACAACCCTGAAAGTCAGTATTGCTCCAATCTCTCAAGGATTTCCGTGTTTGAAATTTACCTTGATCCATTTTATGGCTGAGGCTAACAGCTGTTTTCAAAAGATTTGTCATGTTAAAACTTGTATTTGAACCCTGAGAGGAAATTATGGCTTTGAAATTACTTCAGGTTATCTATTGTGATTTATAATACAATATAGGATACACTGTAAAATTCATGGAGTGATTTGATTCTACACTTATCAGATATTTTGGAGCCGATCATCGCAGACATAGATACCTGTGAGTTACGCCAAGTTGTTGATACTGACACTGAAGTAACAGCCATTGTCACATTATCATTCAATAAAATGCAGCAATTATCGGTTCCGGACAAGAAACAACAAAAACAAATTGCATTTATATAGCTCTCTTCCCTGAGAGGGGTGGAGGGGTGGGGAAGGGGGGTGTGGGTGGGAAAAAGACCGAAGGCACAGTCAAAGAGGAAGTCTTGAAACAGACCTTGAAGGAGGCAAGGGTGGGGGCAAGGCAAAGGGATTCCAGGGTGGTGTTCCAGAGGGTGGGGGCAGAAAGGCTGTAGGCTTGACCACTGGGGATAGCTTTAACCCTGGTACCAGCTATGTCATTGGGCTGAGTGGTGTGTGACATAGAACCTATTCTATTTTAATGGAAGGGCACCGTGAGCAAGCAAGACAACTGTACAGTTAGGACAGTCCTACCCATTTAAGACTTTGTCTTGCAGGGTTGAAGACACATCTACACCTCTAAGTGCTTGCATTTGATATAGTGCCTTATCACTTCTTCGAAACATCTCAAAATGCTTCACAGAATACGCTGTAAAGTGAATTGACTTAAATTAAAGTGAATACATTTTATGGGCAAAACACGGCAGCCAATTGCGCACAGCAGTATCTCACAAACAGTCGTAGATTGAGTGACCAAATTATTATTAATAGTATTATTTTTTAAAGGGATTATTACCCCCCCGGAAAAACAATCTGTCGATCAACTGATAACCGGGTTCCTACTTACTACTAGGTAAACTGCAACATGTGGAGTAAGGAAACTTGCCCAAGTTACGTTTTGCTCAGGAACGGAACCCAGGTTCTCTCGCTGGCGAGGCAAGTGCTCTAACCACTAAATTACAGGACTCCACAATTACTGTGGAGTTGTGGATTACCATGGAGCAGCCTGACCTTGCCAGACATAGCAAGATCAAGTATAGTATCCGTTCTTATCAGCACTTCTTGTGCTGTGAGTTCTGCCTTTGAGGTCTCAGATCGGTATAGTTGCCGCCATTCTGAGCCTCCTCATGCTTTATTCATGGCACTAGATGCAGCTGAAATACCAGCCGTCAGCCCGTGTTGGCTGGGATCGGGATTGCAGCACTGACGATTCTGAGGAGTTTAATCCGCCTTCACATTGAAGAGCAAAGAACCTGGAACACAGACCTACCTTGAGCCCTTGGTCATCGGCTCAGACCACGATTGCTCGGGTCAGAAAGGCAATCCAGCCAACTGACTTGTTTGAATGGTCATGATGCAAGGAATCAGGTTCCTATTACCTTTCAATGATTTGGGACCCAGATTTGGGTGGGTATGGGTTGCCAGGGGGTGGGTGGGGGGTGACCTGAGTTCGCATTTGAGGAACATGAATCAGTTTAATTCGGCTTATTGTGAGGTGAGTGGGGACAACTTCGCTCACCAAAAAAAATTAAATCCCATGAAACAATCACCCCTCCTTTCCTCCCAGGTAATGTTCATGCTATTTTGAATAACATTACAAACATTGTTCTCAACACAAATTCCAATACATTGTATCCCGAATTGTAAGCATCTTCTTTAGTTGCATTTGTTTTGTGTGAAAATATTGATTTGCCTCTGTCCCCCACCCCCTAGCCCCGCACACAAAAAACTTCACCAAAGTAGAACATTTTTCTGTGTTTCATATGATTCTGTATGAGATCAACAAGCTTTCTAAGGCAAGTCCTTTAATACTGGAAAGCACAGTGCAGAATAGCAGCATGGAGATCTGTGCCTGCAGGAAGTGAATCTCAACCAGTTCTATAGATAGCAAAATATATGAAGGGACATTTACCACAACACACATCTTGTTTCAATGTGAAAACTGGTAGGTTCTCTGAGGTAGTCTTAGAATTAAGGTAAAGCATACATCAGTATTGCTCTCGGTACATGATCACCTGAAAGGTGAACAGCTATTGAATCTGAACAAAATATCATGGCTGTAATACACGCAGCAGCCAGTACTGAGACAGACAAACCTTGTTAACATTTCCAGCACAATATGGTTCAGGATATTACTTCATTATAAATCTTTGCAGAAACAGTCTGACTTATATTTTCAGTTCAATCCTCTAGAGAAAGTACCATTGTACCAACAGAATATACCAACAGAAAACACACCACTGTGTTTGTTAAAGAAGTGGTGTTAAACTTGTACTTTACTGAATATAATGTTTCATTTTTTCTCTTTTGGATTACATGGAATAAATATAATGGAACTTATTGCGTTTCCACCATGATTAAATTCCAGGTGTTTCTTCTCCCATTCCAGAATCTAATCCATGTTAGGAACTTTATCCCCTGGTGTTTGACTCGTGAAAATGACATCAACAACAACTTGCACCACCGCCCTTCACCTCGGATAACATCTCGGGAGCACTTTCCAGTGGCAGGGTCAGATACCGGTCAATGGACTACGCACGGTAAGTCTTTAGGTGGGATTTAAAAACAGGGGACATGGCAGATGGATTGAAGCAGGGAATTTCAGAGATCAGGAGCGTAATTGTTGAAGCACTCTGAGGTGCTACTCCGCATGAAGGGCAGTGGAAGTTGTTGTTGGTGAACTATCCTTGTAATGTGAGCGTGTTTTCATCTGTGTATAAAATATTAAACATGATTTTTCTATTTTCAAGTCAGAGATGCGCAACTTAAATCTTGCACTTATGACGTAACTGTCTGTACTAATGTTTTCACCTCCTTTTTGATCAACTATTTCTTACACCATCCAGTCTATGGAAAATGACAGGGAGAGGAAAAGGCTAAATGCGTTCCAGATATAGAAACTATCAAAGAATGCAGCATACTATGGGTCTCCACACAGCTCTTTATGTCAGCTATGCTATTGTGGGGTGGGGCTGAGAGGAGACTGGAAACCTATCTAAAGAAGGTGGCTTCAGAATAGAAGTGGCCATTAACTAATGCTGTCATCCCACACATCCCAATGTGAAGATGCACAGCCAAAATGGCCTGATTCTCCTCAACTGACTGTTCAATCTCCTTGTCAGCTCAGTCTGTGTCACTGCAGATGTTAATGCTGGTGATAATGTCCTGTGTATTTCAGATGGATTTATTTCACCCTAACCCACGTCTTCCTGTTGTGCTGTGTTGGCATCAGAAGAACAGCACCAGCTGCTAGGAATCTATCATAGGTTGATTCATAGTCATTCATGATTATCAATACACGTTTGCCTCTTGCCAACAGCTCTGTACCTTTGGCTCGGATTTCATCAACCTCCCCGGCCGCTTGCTCAAGCTCAATCAAGTGGTGCACAGCCAAGGACATTCTGCTTAATTCTGAGCTGAATTTCAAAATTCACAACCAGTCCATTGCTAAGATAATCTTCTTGCATCTCCAGAACATAGCTCCCTTATATTCTTATCTCATCAAGCTTAAATTTATCCATGCTTTCCACGCATCAAGTTTAGTTTTTTTCAATGCCCTCCTTGCCAGCTTCCCTAGTTCCTATCTCCTGAACTCTACAGCCTCCACCATAAGGCTGAGTACCCATGACTCCCTGCCTTGCCAAACTCTTTTGGCTTCCTGTATCGCAAAGGAGTGAAATCTATTCAAATCCATCCATGGTGTTGCCTCACTTTTCCTAAGCAATCTTCTCCATTCATATATTTTACCCTTTACCTTCCGCTCTTGTCTATTCTTGGCTACCCATTCATTTCACTCCACTGTTAAGTGTCTAAGCTTTTGGTC